GACTAGGTAATGAAAGGTCCAGGTTGCACAAAGACTAGGTAATGCAAAGTGCAAGTTCCACCATGACTAGGTAATGCAAAGTCCAAGTTCCACCATGACTAGGTAATGCAAAGTCCAAGTTCCACCATGACTAGGTAATGCAAAGTGCAAGTTCCACCATGACTAGGTAATGCAAAGTGCAAGTTCCACCATGACTAGGTAATGCAAAGTCCAGGTTGTATTTTAACTAGATAATGAAAACTCCAGGTTGTGTTCTAACCAGGTAATGAAAACTCCAGGTTGTGTTCTAACCAGGTAATGAAAACTCCAGGTTGTATTATAACCAGGTAATGAAAACTCCAGGTTGTATTCTAACAAGGTAATGAAAACTCCAGGTTGTGTTCTAACCAGGTAATGTAAAATTCAGGTTGTATTCTGACTAGGTAATATAAAAGTCCAGGTTGTACTGTGACTAGATAATAAAATGTCCAGGTTGTATTCTAACAAGGTAATGAAAATGCCAGGTTGTACTAGAACTAGGTAATAAAGAGTCCAGGTTGTACTATGACAAGGTAATAAAAAGTCCAGGTTGTACTAGAACCAGTTAATAAAGAGTCCAGGCTGCACTATGACTATGTAATGAAAAGTCCAGGTTGCACTTTGACTAGGTGATAAAAAGTCCAGACTGCACTATGACTAGGCAATGAAAAGTCCAGATTGCACTAGGATAAGGTAATAAACATTCTAATTTAAACAGACAATAATTCATCTCAATGTTCACAGCTCTTAATAGCATGTTGTTAAATTCAAAGATCTCCAAAAAAATGTAACATTCACTGGGAATGTTCAGACTGTAAATATTGTATAGAAGGCTTAATAATACTTTTAGACAGGCAGCTGTTCACTGTTTTCATTCATATTTGAAATCTTGTAGTGTTTCTTAACCAAACAAATTAATAATATGTTATGTGGCCAATACATTATTTACAATTATTAAATACTAATCTTAAGACATTTTCAGAAATACCTGTTTTATGTTTTATTTGAAACTTAATGTTTTTTAGCAAGTTCTGTATTACTTGATAAATTTATTAACTTAGTGCAATTAACAAGATTACATATTAATTAACAGATTTACACATCAGTCAACATGTTTACACATTAATCAATAGGCTTACACATTAGTTAACAGGTTTACATATCAACTAACAGGTTAACATACCAATGAACAGGCTTACACACCAATTAATGAGTTTACACTTTAATTAACATAATAATACATGTATTATTAAATTAACACATATATTAAGAAACAGGCTTACACATTAATTTGAACACTTACACTTCAGTTAACAGGCTTGCACATTAACTGGTTTTAACATCAGTTAACAGACTTACACGTTAGAGTTGTTTATGAAAGCATCTGCCCACTTATAATTGTTGTTATTTTTGTAGTTGATCATGACCACTCGTCGAGATTACGAGAACCTTCAGCAGGAGATGAACAAGATACAGCAGGAAAACGAATCGGCTAAGGAAGAGGTGAAAGAAGTGCTTCAAGCTCTGGAGGAGCTGGCTGTCAACTACGACCAAAAATCACAGGAGGTCGATACGAAAAACAGAGAATATGAAATCCTTAGTGAAGAATTAAATCAGAAATTGGTCAGTTTACTTTAACTGTCTAGTCTGAGTAGTAGACAAGAATGTGTTGTTCTGTATAGAGCCTTAGTGAAGAATTAAATCAGAAATTGGTCAGTTTACTTTAACTGTCTAGTCTGAGTAGTAGACAAGAATGTGTTGTTCTGTATAGAGCCTTAGTGAAGAATTAAATCAGAAATTGGTCAGTTTACTTTAACTGTCTAGTCTGAGTAGTAGACAAGAATGTGTTGTTCTGTATAGAGCGTTAGTGAAGAATTAAATCAGAAATTGGTCAGTTTACTTTAACTGTCTAGTCTGAGTAGTAGACAAGAATGTGTTGTTCTGTATAGAGCCTTAGTGAAGAATTAAATCAGAAATTGGTCAGTTTACTTTAACTGTCTAGTCTGAGTAGTAGACAAGAATGTGTTGTTTTGTATAGAGCGTTAGTGAAGAATTAAATCAGAAATTGGTCAGTTTACTTTAACTGTCTAGTCTGAGTAGTAGACAATAATGTGTTGTTCTGTATAGCTTTAAATAAGGTTATGATTCAGAGTTGATATAGAACTCAGATCTGTAACCACATTCATTCTATAACCCGGTAAGTGTCTGAAATTCATTGTCTGTCAGATGATCTTGGATTGTTCATGACTGTCAGATTTGAATAAAAAATTGTAGGATGATTTTTACTTACATATAATATAATTAGGGTTTGATTAAGTAAAATAGGGGGTGACAGTTTTTTAGGAAAAGCATGGAAGTATCATGAAGTGTTTAATTATTCTAAATTATGAATCCACTCTTGAACTCTTGTAATTTCTGTTTAGTCTAACCTAAACACAACCCAGAATGAACTACAGCAGCAGAAAGACCAAAATGTTCACCAGAGGAAGAGAATTACAGAAATGTTAACCAACTTACTGAAGGACCTTGGAGAGATCGGGACTGTCATTGGTGGAAATGCTGCAGACATGAAAGTAATGAACTTCAAATTAACTAGTTATTTGTAAACATTCTATAGATATAGAAATTAACTGAGTGTTAAGAAGTTTTATTACCAAAACTAAGAGACTTCTGTAATGTTTGCTGGAGGGTGATTCTAAAACTTTTAGTTGCAGTTTGTAAGTATTAAAGCACATGGCCAGGTGGTTAGGGCACTCGACTCGCAATCAGAGGGTTGCGGGTTCTTGGATGGATAATGGGCAAGTGGGGTTTATTAAGTCACTTTTCTTGGATGGATAATGGGTAAGTGGGATTTAATAAATCACTTTTCTTGGAAGGATAATGGATAAGTGGGGTTTAATTCACTTTTCTTGAAAGGATAATGGGTAAGTGGGGTTTTATAAATCATATTTCTTGGATGGATAATGGGTAAGTGGGATTTAATAAATCACTTTTCTTGGAAGGATAATGGATAAGTGGGGTTTAATAAGTCACTTTTCTTGAAAGGATATTGGGTAAGTGGGGTTTTATAAATCATATTTCTTGGATGGATAATGGGTAAGTGGGATTTAATAAATCACTTTTTATGGAAGGATATTGGGTAAGTGGGGTTTTA